GGGGGGGAACGGGCTGCGGCAGGGCCAGCTGTGGGGCACGGGGTGGGTTCTAGACAAGAGCTCATGCAGCCGGGCTGGGTTGTCAGCTGGTCTGGCACTAGAGGGCAGGGAACCAGACTGGGTGGGTTCTAGACAAGAGCTCATGCAGCCGGGCTGGGTTGTCAGCTGGTCTGGCACTAGAGGGCAGGGAACCAGACTGCAACCCCCACGCTGCATCCAGAAGCCTTCCTGCTGCCCAGACTCCATCCCGGAGCCAGCCGGGTTCTAGAGCAGTGGGGATGATCTAGAACTCCGACTCAACCCTGAGCCTTGAGAATGAGCTAACGCTGTCAGCTCAAAAATGGCAAGTGACTCAAAATAACCTAGAGTGTGTGCTCTAGATCCATGTTCCAGGCAGATGGGGGCACTAGCAGCCACACTGACCCTCTGAGAATGATCTAGAACTGCAGCCCCATAGGCCTCGTTCCACCCTACACACCCGGCTCGGGAGCGAGCTCCAATATGATCCAGAAACCCCCTTTCGCAGCCATGCTGCTCTCAGTCGTGCTGCACCATGCATCTAGAAGGCCTGGGCTTTCCAGCCCGCACCGTTCTAGAATGATCTAGCTTGACCTGCCTTCTGGAGCTCAGGAACCAGCCCCCCTCCGTTCGTTCGCAGCACCCACTGGCACTCTCTGTTCCCGGAGATGCCATTCGAGACACCTTTTCCAGAGCACACACCACCACCTGACATCTCATGACCCTTCTGGACTGATCTAGGACACAACGTCAACCTGTACATATGGCTCCAACACACATCCCTGTATTGCACTGAGTTTTAGAGGAATCCAGAACAGTCTAGACTTCACAGCACTCCCCTGGAGGTCCCAATTCTGGACTGTCCCTCTTAAACAGCTCCAGAACCCTCCTATTTCAGCACATTGCTCTGGGACAATCCAATCAAACGCTACTCCAGAGCCTCATCTGTCACCCAAGAACCATGCCAGGGTACCCTACATTGCTGATGGACCCCCCCCCTCTAGACATCACGGGCTGATCTAGACTGCGCGGAAAGTGAAAGTGAAAGTCATTAAGACACGTTTTTTCCAGCTAACCTCCCCCTTCCTCAAAAAAGGAGGTTGACGCCGCTTTTCAACAACGACGGGAGGGGGTTGCTGAAAAAGCCGCTTCTTAATTACTTTCACTTTGGAAAGCTCTGCTTTCGAACGTGCGATTGGAAGAAGATCCGCAAAGTCCCGCAGAATTTGCACATCTTCTTTCGACCGTTCCCTGTAGGCCCCACAGGGCCCCCATTTTCACACACAGTCTGAAACAATCCAGCTCTCCCAACGTGAAAGCCCCAGGCTGCCCTGCCTGCCTGAGGGAGAGGCCTTCTTGCAGGATCCAGACCAACCCCACGACGTGGGAGTCAGGTCCTGTTCCTGAGCGGCCTTCTTTCTAGACAACAGCTGAGCACGCTCCTAGCACCCACCCTGCTAGAGGCCCCACCCAAAGGGTGGCAGCTGCAAAGACTAGAAGGATCCAGAATGCTGCAGGCAACCCGGAGGGCATTCTAGATAGTTTGGAGGAGAAGACCAGAGTGTACTCGGACAGCAAACTCTAGAAAGCTCCCCCACTGATCTAGAACACAAACACCCCATCATTTGGGGGCTCCCGAGGGAGAGCCAGAAGCGGGTGATGGAAGGTGGGAGGGGGATACTTAGGTCCTTTTCACATGAGGGTTGCCTCTTGTTTTGGATAACCTAGAACCAATGATCTAGAACCCTGCAAAGGGCGAGATGGGTTCTAGGGGAAGCGCCGGAAGCAGGGGAGTGGAGGGGGTGTTTGTAACCGTTGTGCCTGGGAGGGGTGCCCCAGTGCTAGACCCACCTAGAACCCCTTGGTTTTACCCCCTCTTTCTAGACCAGTCTAGAATCCCACTAGTTCCTCTCCTCGATGATGGAGCTGGTGGGGCTGCTGAGGTCGCTGGGGCTGGAGGGCAGGGTGGGGGTGGAGGCATTGGACGCATTGGACGAGGTGCTGGCCTCGCTGGAGCCTTTCTTGGGTTTGCGCCACTCCGGGATGGAGCCCATGGTGGCCGGGGGCTTGATGTTCTGCCGGTCCTTCTCCGCCTCCTCCTCTTCGTCGTACCGCTCGTCGTCGTCCTCCGTCTCGCTGTGGTGGGGGCTGGAGTGGCGGGAGATGGAGGGGGAGGGCGGCACGACGCATTGGACGAGGTGCTGGCCTCGCTGGAGCCTTTCTTGGGTTTGCGCCACTCCGGGATGGAGCCCATGGTGGCCGGGGGCTTGATGTTCTGCCGGTCCTTCTCCGCCTCCTCCTCTTCGTCGTACCGCTCGTCGTCGTCCTCCGTCTCGCTGTGGTGGGGGCTGGAGTGGCGGGAGATGGAGGGGGAGGGCGGCACGGAGG